AAAGTGAGAAAGCAAGCCACCAGGTCTGGGACTCAGACCATAGTCAGCCACATGGGATTCCAGTGTCTTAATTGCCATGCCACCTTCCGGCCTTCTACTTTTCATCTAAGTGTAACTGATTTCTTAAGATGTTGGTTTCATTTTACTATCTTTTGTTTAATGAGCAGGAAATGAGTTCCCAAGACTCTATTAGTCAGTTAATTCTTGATTGAAAAGGTAGTGGCTAGGAGATGGGCCAGCGTAAGGATTAGCCTTGAAAAGTTATGGGAGGAGGAAAGAATAAAGTTTAAAACAATCTTATGTAAATATTAACCTCATAATACAATTTGGATTTGATGCTGCAGATGTTTTATAGATGAAAAAGATATCTCTTTTTAAAGGAAAGACGTAATTAAAGTCCAAATATATATGTCAGGATGTGGAGAAATAAAAACCTGCTTACTCTGCAATAAATGGGTATAATTCCTAAAGGAAAAAATCTCACATTTTAGAGGCCCTTATATTCTTAATCTAGCTTAAAAGTAATATCCTCCTTTGCCCCCCGATCATACTACTTTTCTGCCAATCTAATGTTGCTTTGTTGTCTGCTGCTTAAATTTCTAGTGACCCTAAAATTCATTCTTGTGTGACTTTTCTGTTTGTTACTACTACTGCTACTATACAGTTCCATTTGATAAAAATTTTATTTTTTCTATAAACCCTTCCATGTATTTTGAGGAAATGAATAAACCCATATAACAAAAGTCTTCTTAATGACTCTAGGATAAGATATTTTAACAGGCTGGGTATTTTGTATGTTAGAGCAAGTATATGATGTTTATAGTTCCTTTTGGCACTCTGACTAGACATTGTGCTTCTTACATTTGCTTTAAAGGGACAAGCACAGTTGGCGCTCAGGGCATCATCCAGATAGGATGAAAATATTACTGTCTGCAGCACCTTTCATTTAGAACTTCACAGCCTCCTTTTTTTTTTTTTAAGATTGCTATAAGCCCATAATCCTGTCTCCATTCTCCTCTTTGGATTCTGGACACATACATATATATGCAGTGTGTCTGTTTGCCTTCCTTCCTTCCTTCCTTCCTTCCTTCCTTCCTTCCTTCCTTCCTTCCTTCCTTCCTTCTTTCTTCTTTCTCTCTTCTCTCCTCTCCACTTCTCTCCTCTTGTCTTCTCTTTTTTTCTTCCTGAGAGATTTTTGCCATAGGGTGCTTGTGCTTGCCAGAGAGACAGAGAAAAAGAGAGAAATCACCCCCCGGGGGATAGCCATGCTGGAATCCCTTCTTCTCTATTCTCCTCTAGAGATTTTGGGCATGCATGCACATGCACCCGGTGTTATTTCAAGCTGCTGGGTCCAAGACTTGAACTGCAGTTGCCATTTTGGTCCAGTGCCTGAACTACTACACCACCTGCTGGCCCTACGCAGTATATTTTTCAAGCTGCCAGATCTGGGACTGGAACTGGACAATGGGCCATGGGGATCCAGCTGCTTTAATTTCTGCAACATCTTCTGGCCCTGCCTCAAACTTTCATACTTAAGAGCAGAGCTAACTTTTCGGTTATCCCCTACCCTCAACTTTATCACAGGTAAAAGTTTATTTTTTATTGACTTATTTTCTTTCTTTAGCCCAGTGAGGAGACTGACCATTTAACCAATGTTGACTCATTAGCTTTGGGTGACAAATTTAATTCTTATTTTATTTCCAGGTCATATTTGCCAATAGTATGAAATCTCTTTTATGCTATGTTTAAAACCAAAACATCCTTACTATCTCACTACCAATACTATTAGTGACATTAATAATGATGATAGATAACTTTTTTGTTCTCTTACTATGTTACCAGGCACTGTTCTAAGCTTTTTATAATGGATCATAACTTATTTAATCATTAATAACACCCCTAATGAAATAGGTCCTATTAGAATATTAACATAATATTAAATAATGATTATCATTATTAATCATTATTTAGTCAAAAATATCAATAGAACTAATTTTAAGATTTTTAAGAAATTTGTAATTTGTGGAATTAACAATATACAAATCTGAGAAGTACAAGGAAACCAAAACTTAACAGAATTTCTCTGTTCCTCTCTTCCTTCTTTTATTTGTTTATCTTCTTGGAGACAATAGATTGATTTATGCCTCTTTTCCCTATATTCCCTATGTAGAATTCCATACTATTCTAGGGTATGTTATCGATTCTCACAATAGAATTCCATACTGTTCTAGGGCTTATTAACTGATTCTCACAACTACATGTGTATGTGCTAATACTCATGCAGAGCTGAGCTCAAAGAGTCCTAGGATATCCACAGAGTCAAATAATAGCATAGCATGGATTTCAGACAGCAACGTAGAGTTTAAATAGAGCTTTATTTTTTTTTAAATATATATTTTGGGCTTCATTTTTTGAAACCTGAATTAAAAATTCTAATGTAATACATTTCTATTATACCTTTGCTTTTATGCTTATTTTTATTTAAAGGATGGAATGGCCTTAAGTATGTTCATGCAGAACACCTTAACAAGATTTACGAGGTAATGTATCTTTTTTGAAAATATGATTTCTAAAAGACTGAAATAGTTCTTTATTTCTTCATTATTTGCACCAGTTCAAATAAAAAACTAGCTGATTTTCTAATTATACTTATTCTAAAGATTAACTATTTCTTTGAGCCATTGTGGGCTATTATTTAAATAAATGTTAGTGGAATACATACATGTATTTTAAAAATAAGACAAATAGGGATTTAAAAAAAAAAACATAAGATCCAGCCTTTTTTTTTAAAAGAGCTTAGATGACTACCTATATTAAGGAATAGACGTGGAGAAAGTTAAGTACAGATAAGAGAACAGGATAAGGTCACTGATCAAGAGATGACACATAAAGATTACTTAATATTCAAAATTCATAGAATGTAGTAAATAAAGTAGTCTTCACCCAGAGGAGAGAGGGAAAGAACCCTATAGTTTGAAGAAGGCTTTTGCAGCTTTCTGAGGAAAATGAATTCACTTTACATAGATAAAGAACAAAAGGGAAAAAATTCTTCTTGGCCCATCACTATGCATTTGGGGTTACAAACTGTGACATGTTTTGGCTATTAGTTTTTTAGTTTCATGTTTCTAAATGTATAATTTAAAAATTATAAAAACTAAGGAAGATGATATTTATTTAAGCATACTTAGTAACTGGATATTCCCATCTTTTGAGTACCATTCTATCTGAGTCTAGACAGAGTAATACAATCATAACATTACTATTTAAAGATTTCTTTCATTGTCTTAGTTCTTTTTTCAGATTCTTCTTCCATATTGCATTTAACTTTTTCTTGAGTAATCTGAAAAGTTACTCTTTTTTTTTTTTCCTCTCTGGGAATAGTGCATATTAAGAAATTTTCGATTACTTTATACCTGCAGCTTTGCAGTATGGTTAGAACTTAAAAAACATTTGATATTTTTAAAACATTTTAGATTTATCTTGTAGTATTCACACATTTCTGCAAAGTGAGTCTTTGTAAACAGGAAAGGTAAGATTTATTTTTACCACAGTATTATGCTTTTATATACAATTAGTCTATAGATCATTTCCTAGAGGAAGAAAGCAACCCTGAACAGGGTGTGGTCATGCTGCAATCCCTTTTCCTGCATTTCTCCATCTCGTTGGAATCTGAGCACTCATCCACATGTGCCCAGCATGTTTTCAAGCCGCTGGGCCTAGGACTCTAACCATGTTGGGCCATGGGGAGCTAGCTTCCTTGACCACTATGGAGCTGGCCTGAGAAAATTTTTGGTAGAAATATTCATAACACAGTTTTGAAGCTCTGTCTTCTGTATTACATTTTCTCCCTTTGAATGCAACCTTAATTTTCTTACCCTTTAATATCAATAAAAATGAACTAAGACAATGTCATTTTCAATTATTCCCCATTGTTAGTTACTGAGAAGTTCTAGGAACTATAAATTACTGAAAAACATCCATTTATTTGAGAGTTATAATATGGCTGTAGTTCAAAAATATGCAGTGATTCTGGGAGGTATTTTGATAAACTTACATGACAGATAGTATGAATTATTCATATTATACCATTTTTCTTCTCATGGTATGCACTTTATTATAAAAAAAGTGTAGTAATTTTGTTGCCACTGCATTGTAAGATTTTAAAAAATAATGCTTATAAACTAATATTGAAATAAAAATATTAATATCCATATATCCTTCAACATACAGGCTTCCTTTAATAAGCGTTGCACTGATTCAAGGTCGAGCCCTGGGTGGAGGAGCAGAATTAACTACAGCATGTGATTTCAGGTAAGATAAAAATTGTATTACTTTTCCACAAATATAATTAACATATGCTCAAGTTTATTTTTTATCTTAAGATCAATATTTTACATATTCTTAGGATAACCAGTTTGTGAATATTTTATTTCTGTGAGTTATTAGAGTAGTTTTAGTCTAGTATAATAACTCTATTATTTTATTACTATGCATTTCAAAAACTTAACAAGGTAGTAAAGGATCAATCCATAGTAGCAAAACCCATGGGAGGAAAGCTAAGGAAATATATCAAACTTTAAAATCCAAAAGAATTATACAAAGAAAAGTAAACAACTAAAAAAAAAAATAAAGAAGAACGGAGAAAGAGATAATGCTATAGCTATCTTCAACAATTAAAGGAGGTTTTCTGGGATGCGGAGTTGATGAAGTGATTAAGGTGCTAAACTCTCACATGGCCGATCATGGTTGGAGTTCTGGACCTGGTGGCTTGAAAATTATGCCTGGTGTGTGTGAGACATATTCAAAGAATTCTAAACTATATACAAGTGAACATTACTACACTTAAAAATCCTCTAATAAAAGTAAGTGCAACTTAAGACTTTTTTAGTTTATTTCTTAGGGACTCACAAAGGTTATATTGCTGGACTCCCACATAGTTGGCTGCGGTTTGAGTCCCAGAATCCCAGGAGGAGAACGGATAAGGGATTGTGGCATGGTGTGGCCATTTCTCCTGGGGTGGTGGTGGTGGTGTGATTTCTCACTTTCTCTCTCACAGGTTTTTTTGTCTCTCTCTGGTGAGTGCCAGTGCCCTATGGCAAAAACCTAAAAAAAAAAAAAAAAAAAAAGAGGTTTTCTGAGATCCATTTCATAGCTTCAGTTTACTATGATTTATTGCAGCTTTGTTGGGCTTTGAGGAAGACCAGAGAATAAGGTTAGAGAAAGTTGTTTGGAACCAATAGTTCTTCAATCCCTAGAATTATTTTTCATATTTGATAGCTATACTTTTGGGTTGTTGGAAATGTCATGATGTATTTTTTCTATGTTTTTCTGTGCAAAAGTGCATCATGACATTTTCAACAACCTGATATGTAGGAATGACATTTTGTAGACTTTACATGTGCTTGAAACTGCTTTTATGAATTATTATCAATTTATTTAAATTATGTCACTTGTAGTTGCATAAACAGCTATTTTGTCACTTGTAGTTTCATAAACAGCTATTTAAAAACAGTTTTGGTGTATAAGAATTTGCAGAGATTCTACCCCTTTGGAAACTAGTACTTCCTAAATGAATGAGATTCTGGTACATGATGAAGAATGGTCAATTCTTAGGACAGTGCCCTCTGCTGTCGTCAGTGTAGACTGCATGAGGATGCTGCTACATTTCATTGTGTGAAGAGGAAGCAGTGATTGGCCTTATGGGTAATGTGAAACCAAATAGGAAGTGTTCAGTGTGTGAAAGGATTAACTCCTTTCCTCACTTTACCTTGAAGTATATATTCTTAGGAAATATATCATTTAAATATATATAAGTATATATATATTATAATTATACATATAATTTATACATTCTATAGGGCATATAAGTATAAAAATATATTTTATAATGTGTATTTAAAATATATATGTGTTTAGAGATAGTCAGAGAATTCTAAGCTATATACAAGTGAACATTACTACACTTAAAAATCCTCTAGTAAAAGTAAGTGCAACTTAAGACTTTTTTTAGTTTATTTCTTAGGGACTCACAAAGGTTATATTGCTGGACTCCCACATAGTTTGAGTTTGCGGTTTGAGTTCCAGGCTTAGAATTCATGCCAGGCGTGTGTGTGTGTGTGCGCGCGTGCGTGCCCAGGGTCCAGAGAAGAGAATAGAGAAGAGACTGCAGCGTGACCATCCTCCCCACCACGGAGGGTGATTTCTTGCTTCCTCTCTCTTTGTCTCTCTCTCTCTCCAGTGAGCACACATGCCCTATAGCAAAAATCTCTCTAAAAAAATAAAAAAACCTTATTTCTTCTATGAGTGAGAGCGAGAGAGATAGACAGAGAGACAACACCGCTAACAGTGTCTTGATATCATGATTCACCCCCAGTGTCAGCCAGCTCCAGATCATGGGTACACGAATGTCCTCCATATTCAGGGAGGGCTCCAGGCTTAAACCATGAAATCTGCCACAGGAGATTGCCTCAGTATTTGATAGCTATACTGTTGGGTTATCAGAAATGTCATGATGTGTTTTTTTCTATGCAAAAATGCATCATAACTTTTCCAACAACCTATAGGAATGACATTTTGTAGACTCTACAGGTAGACTCTACAGAGCTTTGTGTTTTACTGCTGTCTAACCATTTGACCTTGCAAATAAAGACTAGTTGTTTTTTCAAGAAAGCGAAAATTTTCTAACATAAAATCTCCTGTTAGTCTTTAAGCTAGCATACACTCTTTATGCTAACAATGTAACCTTAATTATACCTGCAAAGTGTCTTTTACCATATAAACTAATGTATGTATAGATTCTAGGGATTAGGGCATGGACATTCTTTGGGGACTGTTCTACCTACACAGGTGAGCTTGGCATAGAGCAAATATATTGTGGGGAAGGGGTTCTTCAAAAAGTTCATGAGAAATGTACATTATGAGTAAATTAGGCGTGGATTTAAAAATGTTTTGCACCAAAATAAAATTTAATTCAATTTTCCACCAACTTTAAAGTTTACTCATGTATTTAACTTATAAAGGGTTCAGTGACGCAGAGATGATTTTAAATGTAGTTATAGTTGGGACCAGCAGTTGGCATAATGACTGTGTCGCTGGACTCCCATGTAGTCGACCGTGGTTTGAGTCCCAGACCTGGGGGTTTAAACTCATGCCAGGCGCATGAGCATGCGTGCCCAAGATCCTGAGAGAAGAATGGAGGAGAAGGGATTGTCATGTGGTCACCCCCCCGGGGGGGGGGTGATTTCTCACTTTCTGTCTCTCTGTCTCTCTCTGCCTTTCTGGCAAACGCCCGTGCCCTATAGCCAAAACCTCTCCATGCCCCTCCCAAAAGAAACCTCTCTTAGGAAAAAGAAAAAAAAAAGAGCACTGGACTCCCACATGGCCAACTGTGGTTCAAGTCCTGGACCTGGTAGCTTATTTCTTACTTTTTCTCTCTCTCTGTCTCTCTCTGGTCAAATTAAAAATAAATAAATAAAGTTAAATAAAATAATTCCTTAAAAAAAAGGCTTTCTATAAACCCAGGGAATAGAGGAATTCACTCATGTTTCTTCTAGTACTTGTTTAGTTTTATATTTTACATTTTAAAATATCTAATCCATTTTTATCTTATTTTTATTTTATGTATGCTGTGAGTAATGAATTTTATTTTATCTTTTTTTCAGATGGCTATTTGTCCCAAATATTTATTGTAAAAGGCCTTCTGTATTCTAGGATTTGAGTTACCACTTATTAAATTTTCACTTGCAGTTGAGTCTATTGATAGACTTTTTATTCTGTTCCATTGTTTCCAATATTTCTCTACCACAATAATACTACAATAACTATTTTATACATAAAGTTTTTTTCACAGTTCAGATTATTTCTTGAAAATGAGTCCTGTAAGCAAGTAAAGTACTTAATCAAAGGATATAAAAATGTTCAAGGCTTTTGATATATATTGCCAAGTGTCCTCTAAGAAATATTTGTCCAATTTATACTGCTACCAGCAGAGAGAGAGAATATCCTTTCTTAAAATGATTATAAAAGATCTTTTCTCATTTTGATCATCAAAAATTAAATTTCAATTTAATATTTATATTTAGAGATTTTTGTTGAAGTATAAGTTTTGAATTGTATGTATATCTGTGTGTGAATTATTTGCATTTTATTTTCCCATTTTTCTTTTGGGATATTGAGCTATTTGTACATGAGATGAAAATCACATTTTTATTCTTTTATCTCCCTAGTGAAATAAAGTTTTCAACTATGCAATTTAGAACCTGCCAATCTAATTTGTTTCCAACCTCTAACATTGTTTTCATGAATACAAATAATCCTCAGCCCCAGGTATTACAATTTCCAGCTGCTACCCAGTAGTTCAAAGATATAATAGAAGGAAGAGGAGCTGTAAACATGTTTTTCTCAAGGGAGCTTACTAAAGGTAACCCTTTGGTAGAAAATATGTATATAATATATACACTTAGACATACACAAATGTGTGCATACCCCCTCCACAGCCACAACCCCAAAAGGACTAATTCCATTTTTTCACTAGATATTGCCAATATTCTCAATATGACATTTCCGTCTCAGGAAGCAGTCACATTGCCTATGTTGCTTTGTTTTGTAGTTACCACCACATTACTAGAAATTCTTACCCTACAGCATGTGATATTAAGAAAATCTACCTTTGATCATGCTAAAATTACTAACTGGGTATTAAAACCAGACTTGAATATCAGAAAACATGTTTGTATCTATTCCTCCCCTGCTCCATCACCACCATGTACACACACACATTTTCACTCATTCAGTCCTATACATTATTACTCAGTCCCTTGCTATAAATAGAATAGAGCTTCATGAGACCAATCAAGTGAGAGCTAGAAATTAGAAAAGTGAGGTTTAGGGAGAATCTTTGGTTTCTTCTATTTTCCATGGTTTGTCTTAGGAGGTGATGGCAGGTAGTAAGCAAAAGGTAAAAGGTGCCTGGAAAGCATGTGTGCAAATGGGGTCTTGCTTTTGAGGTCCTGTTGGTGGTCAGGGATGCAGTGGCTAATTCTGCAGTTCTCTATACCGTATTTCCCCATGTCAACTTAGTTTGCTTTGTCATCTTTGACTTTTTAGATGTAGTGTAAAGGTACAAGCAGTTTCTGTCTCTAAACTAAAGGTTATTTAAGCCAATGATTCTAAACTTAAATTTATGACATCATGTTAAATTTGTAACATCAGTGGGACAGCACGTGGTGTGGAGGTTTAAGGCGGTTGGATCCCACATGGTGGCCAACTCTGATTCAAGTCCCAGACCTGAGGGGCACATTTGCTTGAGTGCC